GATTATAGTTTGTGGCATGACTAAGGTGCTTGACAGTTGTGAGTTCTGCTGTCAATGCTCTTGGAGACGGAGAAGGCCACCGGGCCTAGGAGAGGCCTCGGCGCCGGGACCCGCACGCCCGGTACGTGCCCAGATCATCCGCAGGCACTGCGGGAGGGGCCGTGGCCAGTGGGTGAGCGGCAGCATCTGCAAGCAGCTCCGGAAACGACCCCAGTGCGGCCTCGCGGTTCCTGCGCGCACAGCCCGGCTCTGAGGCTCTGTTCTGATGCTTGCCTCCCTTCTTCACAAACGTGATCTTTAGCATTTTTCCAGTTGTAAGACATTCAGAGCTCCAACATTCAGCCACTCACTTCAGAAAACAGGAGGCATTTTGGTACTAATTTAGGTTGTCCCCTGCCTCGACTCTATTTATTTATTTTTATTTTTATATTTTTTTGAGATGGAGTCTCACTCTGTTGCCAGCCTGGAGTGCAGTGGCACGATCTTGGCTCACTGCAACTCCGCCTCCTGGGTTCAAGTGATTCTCCTGCCTCAACCTCCTGAGTAGCTGGGACTACAGGCGCCTGCCACCACATCTGGCTATTTTTTTTTTTTTTTTTTTTAAGTAGAGACAAGGTTTCACCATGTTGGCCAGGACGGTCTTGATCTCTTGACCTCATGATCCACCTGCCTCGGCCTCCCAAAGTGCTGGGATTACAAGCTTGAGTCACTGCGCCCAGCCTTTTATTTATTTATTTTATTTTTGAGATGGGAGTCTCATTCTGTTGCCCACGTTGGAGTGCAGTGGCGCGATCTCGGCTCACTGCAACCTCCGCCTCCTGGGTTCAAGCAATCCTTGTGCCTCAGCCTCCCCACAGCTGGGACTACAGGCACGCACCACCACGCCCAGCTAATATTTTTGTATTTTTAGTACACATGGGATTTCACCATATTGGTCAGGCTGGTCTCAAACTCCTGACCTCAAATGATCCAGCTGAGTCGGCCTCCCAAAGTGCTGGGATTACAGGCATGAGCTACCACACCTGGCCTGTGCCTCTACTTTAAATGACAAAATATTTCTTAAAAAGTCTGTAACCACACAGAAGTTTCTCTAAGAAGAACACAGCTTCTGTAGCTTTATTAACATCCTGGGTTGCTCTGTGGATGGCCGGGTCAGGAAGGACCCTGGTCCAGCCTCTCAGAGACCTAGGTCAGGTGGGGTGGGAGGCTGGCGGGAGCGTGGTTGGCGTGCCCCAACGCTGAGAAGGGCACGAGGCTCCATGTCCAGCAGTCCCTGTGCACCACACACCAGGAGGTCCTGTACTTGCCCCTCAGCATAGTTCCTGGAGGACAGCACCCCTCAACTGAACGGAAAGCCTGTCCTGTTGCCTCGTGGGCACCTCTTTGGCCTCAGCTGGGACTTTCAACCGCTCGGCACTTTCGCAGTATGCCCTTTGCACAACTTTAAAAAAAAATAAAAAAATAAAAAAATAACGTTTTAGGAAGGTTAGAAGGAGCTTTGGGGTCTGAATTAGAGTCAGAGGCAGTAGCATGAACTCATGTTCTCTTCACAGACACAGAAACGGCTGCGGAGACGTTCATACACACAGGTGACACCCTCATCCCTGCTCTGCAGCTGAGGGCCTCCAAGCGACAACATCCCAGCAGCACCAGACCCACCTGGCACCCAGGCCTCACTCTCTAAGACTCTCCAGTAAAAGGATACGGGCTCCTTGGAGAAGGGGCTGGTTCCCGGGCCAGGGCAGGGAATGCAGGAGGAGCCTAGAGCACCCTACAGTGCCAGGAAGTCAGGACGTGGCCCAAAATGAAAAGTCTGTTGATGGGGATGCATCAGGGGACCCAGGAGCTGACTGCAGGAGCTCCCCAGGGCCAAGGACAGACAGTGTAAATCACAAAAAAAGTAGTATTGTATTCTAGCTCAGAGTTTAAAACATATATAAAATGAGCCCATCCTGATACAAACAAATGATCAAATAAATAAATACAAGTCCAAGCTCTTCCGGTCCTCCCATCTAGGAGGAGCCCCCCGGCCGTGGACTTGCCCCCTGACTAAATGTGCAAGGGGAAAAGCAGCCCTGTTACCAAGGAGACAGTCGCAGACACCCTAACTCTGGTGAGGAAGGTCAGAGCTGTCTGTAACGTCACTTGGCTGTCAGAGACGCCGCAGTGGTGTAAGACAGGCGGCGGCACTCCTCCCTGAAACCTGTCATCCGCCCCCACCAGAAAGCACAAGACAAGCCTGGGTCAGGGCACCTGGACAAACTGCCTGGCCAGACCCCTCAGAACTGCAGGGCACGGAAGACAAGGAAAGACTGAGAGACCGTCACAGGCCTGAGGGTGCTGGGTAAATGGCGCACGGGAGGCCATCTCCCACAGGTGGCAGCAGGGACAAGGTCCTGGAGCAGAAACAGGATGTTGATAGTGAAATTCAAAGTCTGGAGTTCACAGTGACACCCAGTGCTGGATTCTCAGCTACAACAGCCACGCCCTGTGGGCTCAGAAGTTATAGAAAGGAGGCTGCGAAGTGGCAGAAGGGATCCTCTGTGCTCACTCTGCAACTTTTCTGTAAACCTAAAATTATCCCAAAATACGTTTAGTTTTAAAAATAACCATTCATTGGCCAGGTGCAGTGGCTCACGCCTGTAATTCCAGCACTTTGGGAGGCCGAGGAGGGCGGATCATAAGGTCAGGAGTTCGAAACCAGCCTGGCCAACATGGTGAAACCCCGTCTCTACTAAAAATACAAAAATTAGCGGGGCGTGGCGGCAGGCGCCTGTAGTCCCAGCTACTTGGGAAGCTGAGGCAGAAGAATTGCCTGAATCCGGGAGGCAGAGGTTGCAGTGAGCCAAGATCACACCATTGCACTCCAGCCTGCACGACAAAGCGAGACTCCGTCTCAAAAAATAAAAATAAAATAAAAAAATAAGCATTCATTACCGTGGAAGAGGTGAGCGGCGTTGCAGAAGGTTAGGACAAGACACCGCGCTTCTGCTGCCAAGAACATTGACGAGTCCATTCTGTGCTTTCAGGAAACCGTCAGGAAATCACAGGACTGCGGACGGCACAGAGGGCAGAAGTGCCCAGGCCTGCCCAGGCACCCCGAGAAGCTCATGCTGATGAGCAGCTGGCACTGCCATTGGCATTCAGAGTTCTCTGGGCTGCGGGCGGGCAGACGAGGAGACTGCAGCAGAGCACCCTTCGGGGAGTCCCGCCCGAGCAGTGGGGCGGGCCCCTCAGCACAGACTGCTAAGGGGTTTCCGGGCCGGCCTTCCCTGCTGCAGGGGCCCCCACCCGCACATCACACAATGGGAACACACCTCTGGCAACACAATAGCTGGTGTACTTTGGTCCAGGTGGAAAAAAAGCCTTGTGAATCACATATGCTGGTTTCATTATAATTGATTTTTAAATTAGACAAATTACAGATAACAAAGCCACTCCTTCAGAAACAGCCAACCAAGAGTAAGACCATAAGATCACATATAAAATGCCTATTAATTTTGCTTTTTTTTTTTTTTTTTTGAGACAGAGTCTCGCTCTGTCGCCCAGGCTAGAGTGCAGTGGCCAGATCTTGGCTCACTGAAAGCTCCGCCTCCCAGGTTCACGCCATTCTCCTGCCTCCACCTCCCGAATAGCTGGGACTACAGGCGCCCGCCACCTCGCCCAGCTAGTTTTTTGTATTTTCAGTAAAGACGAGGTTTCACCGTGTTAGCCAGGATGGTCTCGCTCTCCTAACCTCGTGATCCGCTCGCCTCAACCTCCCAAAATGCTGGGATGACAGGTGTGAGCCACCGCTGCCTGCCAATGCCTATTAATTTTTTAACCATCAAAGAATAAGCTAATAACGTATTCATTATTCTTTCTGCAAATAAAACTAAGTCTAACTTGAAAACCTAGATACTGGCCAGGCATGGTGGCTATACCTGTAATCCCAGCACTTTGGGAGGCTGAGGCAGGAGCATCGCTTGAGCTCAAGAGTTTAAGGCCAGCATGGGTGACATGGCAAAACCCTGTCTATATATATAAAAAAAAAAAAAATTAGCTGGGCATCGTGGCATGCACCTCTCAGTTACTAGAGAGGCTGAGGTGGGAGGATCGCTTGAGCCTAGGACGTGGAGGTTGCAGTGAGCTGAGGTCGCACCACTGCACTCCAGCCTGGGTGACAGAGGGAGAACATGTCTGGAACTATACAAAATAATAATAATAAAAAAGAAAACCTAGACACCCCCAGGATGGAGTTGAGGCTGCGGTTGGAGGCAGCCTGGTGGAGTGTGTATCTCACGGGGAGTGCTTTCTTTATGACTTATTCTCAGAGGATGTGAACGCTGCCAGGAGCCTCGATGGAGCCGACTCCATGTCACCATCACTCCTGAACTGACTGTGGCCACAGGGCCTCCGCTTGCTTCAGGGGCCAGGTGACTGGAGGGCGACTTGGCCTTGGGGTTCAGAGCCGCTGGGAGAACCCTGAGTACCCTTTGCAGATCCACTCCTGGGTCTCGTCCCAGAGGCTCCTTTCCCGGCACTGCGGTGAGTTCAGGTGAAGCAGCCGCCTCTTTCCACAGGCCTGGTCCCCTCTGGAGAGACAGAGGGGAGAGTGAGCAGGAAGCCGGTGGTGGACGGGGCTTCAGGAGAACCTGCTGGACCCTGAAGCTGTGAACTGGAAGCTGGGGAGCCCCAGCGTCACCCTGCACGGAGGCTGAAATACAAAGCCCCCGACACAGAGCAGGCAGGGATAGGTGGGGCTCGGATAGACGGGGCCCAGGGGGCTGCTGCCGCACACCCTTGAGGTCTGCCCCCCGGACCACTGTGGCTTCACTGACACCCACCATGGGGCAGAGGGCTCCCCATGACTGTCTCCCGTGAGGGTGCAGCAGCTCAGCTTAAAAGTAAGAGAAATGTAAATTAGACTGGATTACTCTCCCTTGAGAAAGCAACAGAAATAAGAGAAAACCCTCATAAAATCAAGCAGATTTAGCTGAAAGCTGAGCCGCACGCGTAAGGAGATCAAAGGATTAGTCTAATAGCATCTTTTTGAGCTGGGACAGAGTTTGCCGTTTCTATGAAATGACCATGATACAGATCTCTGAGGAAGCATCGGGCAAAATCAAATTTACAACCTGCCCCACCCCTGCCCCCGGAAGCCCACACACCTCATCCCGCTGGTCAGGCTGGGTCCCGCTGAGGTGGGAATGCGCAGCCACCTCTGTGCTTTTCCCAGCCTGCCCCCACCAGTGCCGCTTCACCCTGTCCCGGGCACCTGGCCGCCCCTCCCGTCTCACCACACCCCCAGCTCCCTCGGGAGACTCCGAGGCTGCGTTTCTGGGGGCTTCCACGCTGCCGGCCGTGCTCCGAAGAGTTCCCTGGGGACGTGGAGATGGTGGGCTGCTCCCGAGTATCCCAAAGACACCAGCAACCCTCGCTCACTCGGCCACGGCGGGACACGGGTCCGGCTTTGGAATCTGCCCTCTGATGCAGAATGGTGACTGAACTGCCGTGGGTCTGGCCAGGCCGATCTGGCTCACGTGAATGTTAGGCTGACACTAGAGAACAAGGCAGGCAAAAGCCCTCATTTACAAAACCCCCATGCCTGGACTTCAGGGAAATGTCACCGAAACACAAGCCCCTCTCGGCGCTGCCTGTGGCACCGGCGGCCTTACCATGCTGGGAGAGGCCCACGGGGAAGCGGCTGCTCTGGGTCTGGCTCCACCCTTCCAGATCCCCAGGCACGGAGGCACCATCCGGGCACAGCACAGACCTATTTCTGAGCTCCCTAGGAGTCAATGACATTGTTATTTACTGTCTAACTTACATATTCTTCTCCCTTTCATACACTTCTGTGCTGTGCTATATTTAACACTTTAAAAGGAAGTTAGGGAGACTGAAGAAAGGCTGAGAGAGAGCTACTAGAAACAGGAACAGGCTGGAGGAATGGGGTTTGGGCTCAGGGCAGCATGGCCAACAAGTTGGGGCCACGGCCGTGAGTCGAAGACCCTGCAGCCACTTGGCTGGCTTCCACTGGATACTGTGCCCTTGACAGCCAAGGGCGTCTGCTCTTCTGCCTTGCTGAATCTCTGCAGAGCTCATTACATACACGCGAATGCAGATTTCCCATGGTTAAAACTGGCAACAATCCCCTTAATAGCTTCAGCTGGGCTACATTTGATTTTTTTTTTTTTTTAATTCCAGATAAAAGGCCGGGTACGGAGGCTCATGCCTGTAATCCCAGCACTTTGGGAGGCCAAGGCAGGCGGATCACCTGAGGTCAGGGGTTCAACACCAGCCTGGCCAACATGGTGAAACCCCGTGTCTACTAAAAATACAAAAATTAGCCAGGCGTGGTGGCAGGCGCCTATAACCCCAGCTACTTGGGAGGCTGAGGCAGAAGAATCGCTTGAACCTGGGAGGCACAGGTTGCAGTGAGCTGAGATTGTGCCTTCACACTCCAGCCTGGGCAACTAGAGCGAAATTCCATCTCAAAAAAAAACACATTCCAGATAAAATGTCGAAGTGGCAGTGTCAGGCCTGCCCTCCCACTGCTGGAGGCACGGGAGCTCTGTGATGGGTGCTCATGAGCGAGGCTTCCTCATCCTCACACCTGGACCTTTCCATTCAGAGACAGTGCTGCCTGCCTGTCAAACCCTGATTTTCCAGCACTAATTACAAATAACTATTTAATGGCACAAAACAAGCTTGTCCAACCCATGGCCCGTGGGCTGCATGCAGCCCAGGATGGCTTTGCATGAGTCTCAACACAAATTCATAAACTTTCTTAAAACATTATGGGCCGGGCACGGTGGCTCATGCCTGTAATCCCAGCACTTTGAGACGCCAAGGCGGGTGGATCACAAGGTCAAGTGTTCAAGACCAGCCTGGCCAACATGGCAAAACCCTGTCTCTACTAAGAAAAATAAAAAAACTAGGCGGGCGCAGTGGTGCGCACCTGTAATCCCAGCTACTCGAGACGCTGAGGCAAGAGAATCACTTGAACCCGGGAGGCAGAGGTTGTGTGTGGTGAGTTGAGATCATGTCACCACACTCCAGCCTGGGCAACAGAGCAAGACTCCGTCTCATAAAAAGAAAAAACAAAAAAAAGATGAGATTTTTAATGTGTGGCCCAAGACAATTCCTCTTCTTCCAGTGTGGCCCAGGGAAGAGAAAAGATTGGACACCCCGGCGTAAAGCCTTCCTTCCATTCTGCAGTGGCCACAAAAACTCACTTTCATCCTACTGTTGGGGGAACCATTCGGTCCTTCCTACAGTCAGGAGGAGGTCAACATGCAGCCACCTTCCTCCCCTCGCCGACTTCCAACTCCCGCCCGTCCCAGTCCGCACCCCCAGGCTCCCGGACGCTGCTCTGTGCTGCTGTCACCGCCGGCTGACGGGACACAGGCTGAAGACACGCAGAAGTCCTTACAGAATGGGCCTCACCTCCGAGCTCTCATAAGATGCCTGTGGGGCTGATCTCAACGGAATCTCCGCGTCTGATTCAGAGCCATCATCTCACCAGACCCCAGTGGCCTTGCTCCGGCCTGGGTGCTGTAGCCATGATATCACCACAATGGTCCAAGTGACCATCACCTTTGCTAGAATGGCTGCATGCACACGGCATGGGCACAGGCAACCACGTCTACAAGAGCCCATGACTGTTCACCAGGTCAGCCCTCAGCAGGGGTGTCAGCAGGCAGCAGAGGGGTCAGCAGGAGAGCAGGGGGGTCAGCAGGAGAGCAGGGGGGTCAGCAGGGCAGCAGAGCGACTGGTCAGCAGGAGAGCAGGGGGATCAGCAGCGCAGCAGAGGGGTCAGCAGGCAGCAGAGGGGTCAGCAGGCAGCAGAGGGGTCAGTAGGCAGCAGAGGGGTCAGCAGGGCAGCAGGGGGGTCAGCAGGAGAGCAGAGCGGTCAGCAGGACAGCAGGGGGCAGTGGCACCATGAAAATCTCTTCCAGTCAAGTGAGCCTGCCGCACCCCCAGAGGGCACGATGCCTGTTCCCAGCCTCCCTGATCACAACCACCATCCTGATGCTCTGAAAGGGATGATATCTTGTTTTTCACTACTGGCCTGGGGGCCAAGAGCAGGGGCTCATGCCTAGAGTCCCGGACTCTGGGAAGCTGACTGGGCGAATTTCTTGAGACCAGGTATTCAGGACCAGCCTGGGCAACATAGCGAGATCCTGTCTCTATAAAAAACACACAACTTAGCTGGGCATGGTGGCTTACGTCTGTAATCCCAGCACTTTGGGAGGCCAAGGAGGGTGGATCACTTGAGGTCAGGAGTTCAAAACCAGCCTGGCCAATATGGCGAAACCCCATCTCTACTAAAAACACAAAAATTAGCCAGGCGTGCTGGTGCGCACCTGTAATTCCAACCACTTGGGAGACTGAGGCAGGAGAATTGCTTGAACCCGGGAGGTGGAGGTTGCAGTGAGCTGAGATCCTGCCACTGTACTTCAACCTGGGTGACAGAGCAAGACTCATCAAAAAAAAAAAAAAAAAAAAAAAAAAGACGCCTCTGGAGTGAATATCAGGCTTTTGACCTTTCCTCCTCCATCTCCTCAGCGGTTTTTCTTGCAAAGGTCTGGTCTGCTGGACTCTAGGAGATGGCCCCATCACAGGAAGCACTGTGGTCCTGTCTGTTAGCGTGGCTTCCCGAAGTTGTAGGTTCATTTATTTAAGATGTCTCAAGAAAATGGACAAAACAGGGCTGGGTGCAGTAGCTCACGCCTTATAATCCCAGCACTTTGGGAAGCTGAGGCGGGCAGATCACGTGAGGTTGGGAGTTCGAGACCAGGTGACCAACATGAAGAAACCCCGTCTCTACTAAAAATACAAAATCATCCAGGCGTGGTGGCACGTGCCTGTAATCCCAGCTACTCAGGAGGCTGAGGCAGAAGAATCGCTTGATTCCGCCAGGAGGTGGAAGTGAGCTGAGATCACGCCATTGCACTCCAGCCTGGGCAACAAGAGTGAAACTCTGTCTCAAGAAAAAGAAAAAAAAAAAAAAAAAACAGTTCACTTTTGTAGCCACCAGAAAAAAGAAAAAAAAAGAAAAGAAAATGAAACCCACTGTGTCTGGGCCACCATGCAGGAGTGTGAAGCAGCGTCCACCCCAAGCCATGGCACTGAGAGGAGGAAGAGAGAAGATAGGGCATCACACTTGGTCCCTCTAAGTCCTCACTCAGCTATTCACACTGAGAGCAGGAGGACAGGGCGTCACACTCAGAGCCTCTAAGTCCTGGCTCAGCTATTCACACTGAGAGGAGGAGGATAGGGTGTCACACTTGGTCCCTCTAAGTCCTGACTCAGCGATTCAACTAATGGCTTTACAAATGACACGTCTGATACACAGCCTGAGAGAAAGGGCACACAATGCTTCTAACACTTCCTGACATTTCCTCTAACTCCTGACATTTTCAGAAGCACGGATGTTCACTACAACAGCTGCTTCCAGCCAAGAAAGGGGCCGCCGTTTCTAACTTTTTAAAAGGCTTAGCCGTCTACTAAATGGGATTTTAAGGAAAAGGGATTTCATGTCACATTTCTTTCACAGAAGTACATAAAATTACAAATAAAATTCAAAGCCCAGCCTTTCAGGGCAGGGACCCGGCTGATCCAGCGGCATCAGACACTCTGACTGCCGAATGGGCAGGGGAGAGAGGCAGCCAGGTAACGCAGCAGGGACAGGTGATGTAGCAGGGACAGGTGACACAGCAGGGAGATGGAGCCAGGATGGCTTCTCCCAGAGGCCAACCCAGGCCACCAGACGTGGGTGGCCACACCATGGTAGGAGGCTGCAGTCACCCTGGCTGGAGCTGACAAAGTGCCTGGAAAATGAGGGGAGAAACCCCAGAAAGGAGCAGGCACAGAGAGAAGACATCCCCATCCAGCACATAAATGCTCCCCACGTACTTGTCTGACCCTGAGCTGCTGACGCAGTGTGTGGGGAAGACTCCCAGGGGCCTAGCAGAAACGGACGGCTGGAGGACGGAGAACACTGAGTTGAGATGGCGGCTGTTGCTTACCACCTGAGAGTCTGGATTTTCAACCTTCACAAGTTAGAGGCTTAAAAACACCTCAGGCTTCCCAGGAACATCCAGGAAAACCACACCTTCGCAGATCCAAGACTAAGGATGTGTCAGGCAGAAGCAAAAGCCAGTCAGACCTGTCCTAACAGCATAAACACTGAGCCTCTTCAGGGTGATCGGCGGGAATTCAGCCTGCGAGAACAAAGCCCACACTCTTCAGGGGAAGACAACAGAATCCAACAGAATTCAGAGTCTCTACCATATAAACTCCACCATATTAACAGTATATAAACTAAAATTCCAACAGACAATCAGGAAGTACTAGACGTGTGAAGAAGGGATAACAGGATCCACGGTGAAGGGAAAAATTAGCCAAAAGAAGTAGATCCTGAGACCAGGTGTGGTGGCTCACGCCGGTAATCCCAGCACTTTGGGAGGCCGAGGTGGGTGAAACACCTGAGGTCGGTCAGGAGTTCAAGACCGGTCTGGCCAACACGGCAAAACCCCGTCTCTAATAAAAAAATACAAAAAATTAGCTGGGTATGGTGGTGTGCGCCTGTGATCCCAGCTACTCAGGAGGCTGAGGCAGGAGAATCACTTGAACCAAGGAGCTGGAGGTTGCAGTGAGCCGAGATGGGGCCACTATACTCCAGCCTGGTGACAGAGCAAGACTCTGTCTCAAAAAATAATAAATAAATAAATAGGCCAGTGTGTTAGCTCATTCCTGTAATCCCAGCACTTTGGGAGGCCCAGGCGGGTGGATCACTTGAACCCAGGAGTTCAAACCAGCCTGAGCAACGTGCGAAACCCCGTCTCTACCAAAAATACAAAAATTAGCTGGGTGGGGTGGCACACACCTATAGTCCCAGCTACTCAGGAGGCTGAGGCAGGGGAATTGCTTGAACCTGGGAAGCGGAGGTTGCAGTGAGCCAAGATTGCGCCGCTGCACTCCAACCTGGAACACAAGAGTGAGACTTGTCTCAAAAAAAAAAAAAACATATATATATATGTAAGTGACAACCCAGAATTCCACGTCACTCAAAAATGTCCCTCGAAAATAAAGGTGAAAGAGGGACATTACAGATAAACAAAAACAGAGAGTTCATGGCCAACAGATCGATATGAAAAGAAATGCTAAAAGTACATCTTTAGGTTGAAGAAAAACAAGATTTGAACCACACTATGAACCACCTTGACCTAATGACGTTACAGAAAACGAAAACCAATGACTGAATAAAACTCTTTTCAAGGGTATATGTAATATTCACCACAAAGAGTATATACATGATCAAAACACTTCTTTTTGATTTTTTGAGACAGGGTCTCATTCTGTTGCCGAGGCTGGAGCACAGTGGCGTGATCACGGCTCACTGCAGCCTCTATCCCCTGGGATCAAGTGATCTAGCTAATTAATTAACGAAACATTTTGGCCGGGCACGGTGGTTCACGCCTGTACTCCCAGCACTTTGGGAGGCTGAGGTGGGTGCATGGCTTGCGCTCAGGAGTTGGAGATCAGCCTAGCAGCACAGCGAGACCCTCTGTCTATGAAAAATACAAAAATCAGCCAAGCATGGTGGCACACGCCCACAGTCCCAGCTACTGGGGGGCTGAGGCCGGAGGATTGCTTGAGCTTGGGAACGTGAGGTTGCAGTGAGCCGAGGTCACATCTCTGTACTCCAGCCTGGGTGACAAAGTGACATTGTCTCTCCAGCTGACTCGGGCTCTAGTAATTTCTCTCTACTCTATTCATGTCACCCACCCAAACCTTTACATTACCTAAAAGTCTTCAATCTAAGTAAAGGGTTCATATGAAGTAGAGACTTCATATGAAAAGAGGTCGAAGGGGCCTAAGTGACCTTTTGCTTGTGCTGCAGTAAGAGGAAGCTGCAGAAAACATGGGCATGACGCCTGGGAGCCTCCCACCACGCACAGGAGCCGCCTTCTGAAGAACGTGCCAGAGCTGGCAGGGCTTTGTAACAGCAGATGGAGGGAGCTCGGCACCAGGAAGGCGCAGAGCATTCGCCCTGCCAGTCACCGATACTCAGAGACTCAACAGATGATGTTCTCCAAACTTCATAAAACATGAGCACATTTCACTGGGGAAGACAACCTGAAGTGTGAATAACGTCTAGAAAAGCTGAGTATTCAGAATGGCTGATGTGCATAAAATCGTTTCCCTTTCCGAAACAAAGAAACCTTCTTTACAAAACCCAAAACCACCTTGACACTGATAGCTGCCACTTTTCTGTAGGAAAAGCTTCATTTGTAAATGACTCTCCACAGCTCCCTTTTCCAGAAAGGTGGGGCAGGGGCCTTGTGGGCCAAGGTGGGTCTTACACGGCTGGGCACAGGCGCCAGGGCGGCCTGGGGGACTCAGTACAGGTCGTGTCTACCCATTTATTCCAAGGTTACCTCCTTCCGCTCTGCGTCAGCGTGGATCTTGGCCTGGTTTGCGGCAGCTTCTCGGTAGGTGCTGGCATGTTTGGCTTGCTCAAACAGCGTCTTCAGCTGCTGCGCGGTGGTGAGCAAGGAGTTGACCATCTCCTCCAGGTACAGCCAGCTCCGCGGCTCTGACAGCTCCAGCCCATTGACCAACGCGGGAGGTGCTGCTTTGGTGGGAGTCGGGGGTGGGACAGCAAGCGCAGGCAGGGATGTCAACACTAGAGCATTTGGAAAGCAAAATAAACCAAGAAATGAATCAATTTCCTAGCTTCAAAATGGCCCCCGTTAAAAATTCTCAGCTGGCCGCAGTGGCTCACGCCTGTCATCCCAGCACTTTGGGAAGCCAAGGCGGGCGGATCATGAGGTCAGGAGATTGAGACCACCCTGGCTAACACAGTAAAACCCAGTCTCTGCTAAAAAAAAATACAAAAAATTAGACAGGCGTGGTGGCCGGTGCCTGTAGTCCCAGCTACTAGGGAGGCTGAGGCAGGAGAAAGGTGTGAAGCCGGGAGGCAGAGTTTGCAGTGAGTCGAGATTGTGACACTGTACTCCAGCTTGGGTGACAGAATGAGACTCTGTCTCAAATAAATAAATAAATAAATAAAATTAAAAAAAAAAATTCTAATCACTCAGCGCAGTGGCTCATGCCTGTAATCCCTACACTTTGGGAGGCTGAGGTGGGAGGATCACTTGAGCCTAGGCAACATAGCAAGACCTTGTCTCTATGAAACAAAAATCAAAAACAAAAACAACTAGCTAGGTATGGTGGCATCCACCTGTGATCCCAGTTACTTAGGAAGCTGAGGCGGGAGGATGGTTGGAGCCCAGGTGGTCGAGGCTACAGAGAGCCATGACTGTACCACCGTCCTTTGGCCTTGATGACCTAATAAGACCCTGTCTTAAAAAGAAAAAATGCCAGGTATGGTGGCTCACACCTGTAATCCCAGCACTTTGGGAGGCTGAGGCGGGCAGATCCCTTGAGGTCAGGAGTTCGAGGCCAGGCTGATCAACATGGTGAAACCCGATCTCCACCAAAAAATACAAAAATTAGCTAGGTGTGAAAGTGTCTATAATCCCAGCTACCTGGGAGGCTGAGGCATGAGAATCATTTGAACCCGGGAGGCGGAGATTGCGGTGAGCTGAGATCATGCCACTGTACTATAGCCTGGGTGACAGAGCAAGACTCCACCTCAAAAAAAAAAAAGAAAATTCTCACATAATGTCGGGAAGTTGGGTAAAATACTGACCAACAAACAACAAATCACTGCCCGATGACATCTCCCCAGCACCTGACACCCCCCAGCACCTGACACCCCCAGCACCTGACACCCCCCAGCACCTGACACCCCCCAGTACCTGACACCCCCCAGTACCTGACACCCCCCAGTACCTGACACCCCCAGCACACCTGACACCCCAGTACCTGACACACCCCAGTACTCTGACAACCCCCCAGTACCTGACACCCCAGCACCTGACACCCCCCCAGCACCTGACACCCCAGTACTCCACACCCCCAGCACCTGACACACCCCCAGCACCTGACACACCCCAGCACCTGACACCCCCCAGTACCTGACACACCCCCAGTACCTGACACCCCCCAGTACCTGACACCCCCAGTACCTGACACACCCCAGCACCTGACACCCCCCAGTACCTGACACACCCCCAGTACCTGACACCCCCAGTACTCCGACACACCCCCCAGCACCTGACACCCCCCAGTACCTGACACACCCCCAGTACCTGACACCCCCAGTACCTGATACACCCCCAGCACCTGACACCCCAGTACCTGACACCCCTAGTACCTGACACACCCCAGCACCTGACACCCCCAGTACCTGAGCACCCCAGCACCTGACACCCCCAGTACCTGACACCCCCAGCACCTGACACCCCCAGTACCTGACACACCCCAGCAATTTCACACACCCCAGTACCTGACACACTCCCCAAGCACCTGACACCCCCCAGTACCTGACACACCCCCAGTACCTGACACCCCCAGTACCTGACACACCCCCCCAGCACCTGACACCCCCCAGTACCTCGACACCCCCAGTACCTGACACACCCCAGTACCTGACAATTCCCCAGCACCTGACATCCCTCTAGCACCTGACACCCCCAGCACCTGACATCCCCCCAGCCGACAAAAGAGGCAGGAAGATGTCCCATCCCTTCCCGCCTTCCACCCACCCAGCCCACGCCAAAACTCATCCGAATGTGGCCATGGACCTGGAACGCCCACGGAATCAGAGCTGAGGACAAATGACCAGGGAGGGAAGCAGCAACCAGAGCTCAGCTTGCTGCCCAAGTTGGAGGGCAGTGGTGTCATCTTGGCCTCTGCCTCCCGGTCTGGGCCATTCGTCTGCTTCAGCCTCCCAAGTAGCTGGGATTACAGGCATCCACTACTACTGCTTGCCAGTTTTTTGTATTTGGTAGAGATGGGGTTTCACCATGTTGGCCAGCCGGTCTCTGACCTCAGGTGATCCAAGGCGCCCAAAGTGCTGGGATTACAGGCGTGAGCCACGCGCCCGGCCCTAAAGCACCCTAAAGAGTCAAGCTGACAAAAGAACTCCTGCTTTCAACTCCACCCACCTGGAAAGTCTTCCTGGGCGCCTGCAGTCACACATAGGAGATTTATTAAAGATAATTGTAGGTGAGTTTTTCTTTCTCTCCTTTTTTTTTTTTTTTGAGATGGAGCTTAGCTTTGTTGCCCAGGCTGGAGTGCAATGGCGCCATCTCGGCCTACCAAAACCTCCGCCTCCCGGGTTCAAGTGATTCTCCTGTCTCAGCCTCCCGAGTAGCTGGGATTACAGGCATCTGCCACCAGGCCTGGCCTATTTTGTATTTTTAATAGAGATGGGGTTTCTCCATTGCTGTCAAATGGTGGTTGGTCTCGAACTCCTGGACCTCAGGTGGTCTGCCCACTTCGGCCTCCCGAAGTGCTGGGATTACAGGCATGAGCCCCCGCCCAGTGGCGTTTCTTGCAATTGGAGAAGGAAGTTACAAAGTGGGAAAGGAAAGGAACTAGAACAAACCCTGAGGTTCTGCACTGGAACTAGAGACACTGAGGCAAACTCATGGCTTTTAACACACACAGACCTGGAGCACAAACGTGCACATGTGCACATGAGAACGTTTCCGACTTCTGCCCACCAAGGGCACCCGGGGACAGAGACCAGGAGCCACATGCACACCTTGCACCAGGGGCGAGCGGTTGATGTGAACCCCCAGCCCTCCTGGAGAAAAAGCCCTGATTTCAAGCATTTGCTGATTTCTTGGTATAAATACTTCACCAACACCCACCCACCCCCTTTTTTTTTTTTTCCAGTTAATAGAGATAGGGTCTCCTTATGTTGCCCAGGCTGGTCTCAAACTCCTGGTCGCGGTCTCCTAAAGTGCTGGGATTAAAGGGGTGATTTAATCCCCCTGTAACTGGGATTACACGCCTGTAATCCAAGCACTTTGGGAGGCCGAACCGGGCATATCATGAGGTCAAGAGATGAAGACCATCCTGGCCAACATGGCGAAATTCCGTCTCTACTAAAAATACAAAGATTAGCCAGGCATGGTGGTGCACGCTTGTAGTCTGCACTCCAGACTGGGCAACAGAGCAAGACTCCATCTAAAAAAACAAAAGGGGGCCGGGCGCGGTGGCTCAAGCCTGTAATCCCAGCACTTTGGGAGGCCAAGACGGGCAGATCACGAGGTCAGGAGATCGAGACCATCCTGGCTAACCCGGTGAAACCCCATCTCTACTAAAACATACAAAAAACTAGCCGGGCGAGGTGGCGGGCGCCTATAGTCCCAGCTACTCGGGAGGCTGAGGCAGGAGAATGGCATAAACCCAGGAGGTGGAGCTTGCAGTGAACTGAGATCTGGCCACTGCACTCCAGCCTGGGCGACAGAGCGAGACTCCATCTCAAAAAAAAAAAAAAAAAAAAAGGGGGTGGGGTGAGCCACCACGCCCAGCCCTGAGGTAAGCTTTAAAGATGGAAAGAGTTTAGATAGGCAAAAGAGAGAATAATGAAACAACCAAATGAAAATGATAAGGTAAGTTTTTCATGAACAAGTTTCTTGCACTGTCTGTGATAGTGAAAAATGGAAAACATGCATGGCTCATGCCTGTAATCCTAGCACTTTGGGACGCCGAGACGAACAGATCACGAGGTTAGGAATTCGAGACCAGCCTGACCAGCATTGTGAAACCCCATCTCTACTAAAATTACAAAAAAAAAAAATTAGCCGGGCATGGTGGCGTACGCCTGTAGTCCCAGCTACTCGGGAGGCTGAGGCAGGAGAATTGCTCGAACCTGGCAGGCAGAAGTTGCAGTGAGCCGAGATCATGCCACTGCACTCCAGCCTGGGCGACAGAGTGAAACTCCATCTCAAAAAAAAGAAAGTATAATTATACAGAAATCTTGGCTGCATGTGGTGGCTCACACCTGTAATCCCAGCACTTTGGGAGGGTGAGGCAGATGGATCACTTGAGGTCAGGAGTTCGAGACCAGCCTGACCAACACGGTGAAACCCCGTTTCTACTAAAAATACAAAAATTAGCCAGGTGTGCTGGCGCATGCCTGTAATCCCAGCTACTTGGGAGGCTGAGGCAGGAGAATGGCTTGAACCAAGCAGAGGTTGCAGTGAGCCAAGACTGCACCACTGCACCCCAGCCTGGGGAATAGAGTGAGACTCCATCTCAAAAAAAAACGTGCAGTTAAACGAAAAATCAAAGTTAGAATGCGTTTACAGTGTATCATCGTTTTAAAGATTTAGGCCACATGTGATACCAATCTTGGTTTTTCTTTCTTTCACCAGATACCGAATGCCCGTGCCAGCTCTGGGGAGACCAAGACCTGCCACTGGGGAGTGTCTACCTTCAAGAGGATAACAGCAAACTCACCAGAAAGAACTTCGGCTTCACAGGCCAATTGGTTTCTAGGGGTGTGCCCTGCTGTTGTACCAAAAGCAGCTTCCACAGCACACACATGAATGGACGTGGCTGTGTGTCAATAAAACTTTACTTACAAACATAGGCAGCGGGCCACACTTTGCCAGCCACTGATCTACTGCATCAATAACAACAACAAAACAAACCAAAACGAATCCCATTTCACCTAGAAATTCTTTCACAGGAAGCAGTTCTGAGGAAAATTACCTGTACATGTGTGAATTCTTTCAAACCTACCTATTTTGGGATGTGACGTTGGCAACGCGGCTTCTGGAAACGGTGCGATCTGGCAGCTGTCCTGATAGCCGGGATAGTGAGGCTCAGGGTGGCTGGCCCTGCATGGGGGCTGCACGCTGGCCTCTTGGACTGTTGGCGAGAGAAGGGACAGGGAACCTCGGGACGACTGTCTGCACAGCAGGCCCTAAATATCACATTGTAAGGCTGTGCCATTCAGTACACACAGCAGCTTATGGCCACACGTGGCTACTGAGTCCCTGCCATTCAGTACACATAGTAGCTTATGGCCACACGCGGATACCGAGTCCCTGAAAGGGGCAAGCCTGAATTGTTGACATAGGATTGGGGCTACATCAGTTAAAATAAAATAGATTATAAAAATCAGTTGTAGCTCTTTCCTTTATTTTCCTCAGTATGGCTACTAGAATATCCTCCAGCACACATCCGGCTAGGCCGCACTTCTGTTGCACAACTGTAGTCAGAAGCAGGAGCTGGCAGATAGAGAGTATTTTCAGCTTTGCCGGCCCTGGCGTCTGTCAAAAGTAACCCACTGCCACGCCAACCCCACCCACACTGCACCGCCCAACTGACGTGGCTCACACGCTGTCCCCACCAACAGACGCCTGGTTCAAGCTCCCTCTCGAGGTACCCAGCAGCCTACGAAGCCCAATATGGCACTGGGGATGTGATGTCATGGTCAAGGATATGCTGAGGACGTGTCAGGTGGGCACTGGAGCAGCTCACCTGTGGCTCCTGCGAAGACGTCACCCTGGGCCGGACTCTCGGATATGACAGCAGTGGCCTCTACTGTGGATGCCCGGTCAAAGGTCAGTGCCCCCGAGGTCGTGATCTGTCCCGAAGGGGTCACGGTGACTGGAAAGGCAGAAGCACATTTCACGCGGCCAGGCAGTGGCACCCACGGCACACAGGTCCTGTGCCACCCGTGGGCACCAATCCTTGAGGGGGCCTGGGCTAAAGTGCAGGCAGTGGTAACCGTACCCTCCCATGTGAAGGACATACGGGAAATCCCAGACCTTGGAGAAGACCTCAGAGGAGAAAACCAGGATGGCAACTTGCCACCACCAATTGTTCACTGTTTAAACTGTGCTCCCCAGCATGGAAACTGCTGCCCAGCCAGAAAACAAACATAAAATAAAACTTCCAATGACTTTTAAATACTTTGTGGCTCAAATTAAGAAAAAGTCTTTAATCCAAGCTGAAGGTAAAAAGCAGCCATGTCCCACAGCAAGGCTGCCTCTCTAGCTCAAAAAAAAAAATCCTGGCGACAGATCTCGAGACTCTGCTGCTGTGGGACTCTTCCCGCACCCACCACCCAGGGCCTCGAGAAGGAGCTAACAGGGTGTTTTAGAAAGACCTTGCTCTATAAAAGCAAAAACCCGGACTTACATTAGTTAACAAAAGTCTGTTACAAAGACATTTGCTCCTATTGCTACCTCTCCCCATTTAAATCCTGTCTGTACAAAAAAATAAAAACATTAGCTGGGCATGGCGGCACGTGCCTGTGGTCCCAGCTACTTGGGAGTCTGAAGTGGGAGGAATGCCTGAGACTAAGAGGTCAAGGCTGCAGTGAGCCTGGATCCTGACGCTGCCCTCCAGCCCGGCCACAGAGAAAGACCCACAGAGTTCTGTGCAGCCCTCATCCAGCGCACTGAGAACCCCTCACCAAGGACACCCTTGTCAGGAAACGTCCCTCAAGCGTGTGCTGGGCACTTGGCTCTGCTCACTGACACTGGGAAACAGCCCAGGATGAGGCCAACAGCGCCCAGATCCCAGGGAAGCAAGACAGAGCTGGGCACTGGGACAGCCCTTCCCACCCAGGGGCCACATTGCAAAGGAACATGAAGGCGTTGACATCCCTCCGGCCACGCAATGTGCTTTAGAAATGAGAATCCCACAGTGGCCGTGGGAGTGGTGACGAGAGAAGGCAATGCACTTAGGTCCCCTCAGTAAACTAGAGCTATGTTTTCTCAAACTCACAGGTAGTGGCCGCGGTGGCTGGAAGCAACGTGATGTTCTTGGGGGAGTCCTTCTTCACGGGAGTTGTGGGCAGTTCATTCTCCTTCTTGCGCCTTTTGTAAGGCACAAAAAGCCTGACTGGGCCACTCTGGGGGAGAAAAGAGACAGGCCACCGCGTTGGTGTGTGCAAAAGCTATGCTGCGCTTGCAACTCCTCCTTACATGGGGGCACCGCGGGGTATGTGAGTCATATGGCAAGACCACATTAAGATGGTAAGCGCCCCTAAAAATCCCACCTCTTTTTTTTTTTAGACGGAGTTTCACTCTAGTTGCTCACGCTGGAGTGCAGCGGCGCGATCTTGGCTCACTGCAACCTCCGCCTCCTGGGTTCAAGCGATTCTCCTGCCTCAGCCTCCTGAGTAGCTGGGATGACAGGCATGTGCCACCACACCCGGCTAATTTTCTTTTTTTTTTTTTTTGAGACAGAGTCTCGCTCTGTTGCCCAGGCTGGAGTGCAGTGGCACGATCTCTGCTCACTGCAACTTCTGCCTCCGAGGTTCAAGTGATTCTCCTTCCTCAGCCTCCTGAGTAGCTAGGATTACAGGCACGCACCACCACGCCCAGCTAATTTTTGTATTCTTAGTAGAGATGGGGTTTCTCCATGTTGGTCAGGCTGATCTCAAACTCCCGACCTCAGGTGCTCCGCCAGCCTCAGCCTCTCAAAGTGCTGGGATTACAGGTGTGAGCCATCGCGCCCGGCCAAAATCCCACCTCTTTAGGCCCCAAATCCCTTAACATGACAGAAAGAATACTTTAAAAAAGAACATATGAATACCAGTGCAGCAAAATAACAAAGTGTCATTGACAGATTAAAAGTCAGAAATTCAGGGCCGGGCATAGCGGCTCATGCCTGTAATCCCAGCACTTTGGGAGGCTGAGGCAGGCGGATCATGAGGTCAGGAGATCGAGACCATCCTGGCTAACATGATGAAACCCCGTCTCTACCAAAAATACAAAAAATTAGCCAGGCATGGTGGTGGGCGCCTGTAGTCCCAGCTACTCGGGAGGCTGAGGCAGGAGAAGGACATGCCTAGGAGGCAGGGCTTGCAGTGAGCAGAGATCGCGCCACTGCACTCCAGCCTGGGCGACAGTGAGAATCCGTCTCAAAAAAAAAAAGGGTCAGGAATTCCTAAAAGACAGAAAATAGATGGGGGCCAGGGCCAAGCAAGGGAGGAATGAGAAGAAGCCACAGAGGAGAAAGTTGGCAGCACAAGGGCATAGCTTCAGCAGCACTGCACCAGACAGGAGGAGGCATGGGATCAATTAAAGAAAACGGTAAAAGTCACCAAAGATCTCCCATGAAAGAGGCCAAACCCTCACGGAGCTGGGCCTGGGACACTCCCGCCTCCGACCTGAGACCCTCATAAGCCCAGCACCACACAAGGCTGCCGGACACATGCTCAGAACGTCTCTTCTGTCAGTTCAAACCTGTTGAGACTCTAGTGAATTTTTCATTCAGTTATTCTTCTTTCCAATTCTACAATTTCCATTTGACTTTTTTTTTTTTTTTTTTTTAAAGACAGAATCTCGCTCTCTTACCCAGGCTGGGGTGCAGTGGCGCAATCTAGGCTCACTGCAAGCTCCGCCTCCCGGGTTCATGCCATTCTCCTGCCTCAGACTCCCCAGTAGCTGGGACTACAGGTGCCGCCACCACGCCCAGCTAATTTTTTGCATTTTTAGTAGAGACAGGTTTCAACATGTTAGACAGGATGGTCTCGATCTCCTGACCTCGTGATCCACCCGCCTCGGCCTCCCAAAGTGCTGGGATTACAGGCATGAGAGCCACTGCGCCCGACTTTTTTTTGTTGTTTTTTTCAATAATTTCTATCTCTTCATTGACATTCCCCAGTGAGGAAACAGTGTCTTCAGACCTTCCATGCGGTCTCTAGCTATGGTTTTCTTTAGTCCTCTGAACATACTGAGGATGGCTGTTTCAAAGCTTTTGCCTGTTAAACCCAATATCCGGGCCTCTCCAGGCAATTTCTTCTGTTGCTTTCCTCCTGTGTATGGTTCATGGCTCTTTCCATGTCTTAGACTCTTTTATTAAGAATCAGACAACACAGGTGATACACTGTAGCAACAGTGGAAAGCTGTTCTCCTTTCCCTCAGCTCCTGGCTGCTGTCTGCTTGTTTATTATTCAGGGATGGGGTTGGACCGTTTAACTGAAACTGTTCTCCTGGGGCGGCCTCGGCTGCTGCTCCTCTGAGGGCTCAGCCCTGGGGGTGCAGTCACCTTTGGTGGTGGGGATTTTGGCTGTCTCTCTCCCTGATCTCTGTTAAGCTATTGGTTGAGTCAAGTGTCAGAATCAACTAACCGCCAGCTGCCTGCTCCATTACTTCCAACAATGCCCTGGGGCACACACTGCTCCACTGTCTGAGCCGATTAAATTAGGGCTTCTTTACCAAGAGGTTAGAACTTGAGGGCTTGTTTCCCTGGTGGGTTCTTAGCTGTGGCTTTCCTCGCCTCTCTGGTAAACCTGCTGACCTAGTTTCTTGCTCTAATGGAACTGCTGGCCTCCTCTTAACTGCTGACCACCAAAATGTCCATTGTTTTGAACATCCCCTTCCTGTTTCAAATCAAGTCAGTTCCTTTGGGAAGGGCTTTGGAACTCTGTGTTCTTACAGCCTCTCTCTCTTTGGGGCTGAATGTCGGAGCCCCTACTCCAGACCTGGAGGTGGGAACAGCGCCTGGGTCGATCAGAGGGACTCTGTTGCATCAGCCGGGCTCTGTGAGGGGGGGCGGCAGCCTCTCACCGCATGGACGCTCCACCCCATGGGCAATCTGGGTTGAGGGAAATTGGGGCCTCCCTATGCTTGGCCTCCCACCTCTGAGTAATGCCTCTGCCCTCTGAGTGGGGCTGACTGAAGAGATTTTCAGTCACACTTCCCAGGAATTTACTGCAAATTGGAGTTGAAGGGGTTGAGAACCGCTAGTGTCCTGCCCCTCCCAGTGAGATACCACATCCCTTGACCGGGAGCTGTGAGGAGTGGGAACCCTGTTTTCTTGGTCACAACCACCCAGAATGGAGCCTCCTCCATAGGGAGCTGGGGGCAGAAAGGGAGGGAAGGAGCTGGTCCTAGCTTAAATGTCACAATCCTCACTGCTCTTTCCAAGACTCAGTACATTTTCCTGGATATTTCTTTATTTGCTATATGCACCTAGGACAATTTCCGGAGACCTTAAGGGGTTATTTTTTCACAGTTTTCACTAGTTATTTCTGTGGAGAGTTGGTCCACTGAGCTTATCACACCACCATTCCCCAAGTGGAAGCCAAAAGTTTTAAAATGTGATAAAGTCCAATCTAAGAAATCCTAGCTCTAACTCTAGGTCAGAAAGATTTTCCAATGTGTTTTCTCCTAAAAATGTTATAGTTTTACCTTTTACTTTAGATCTGTGACCCATTTTGAATTCATTTTTGTACCAAGTGTGAAGTTCAGGTCATCCTTTGCCTGTGCCGATGAACGTCCAGTCGCTCCAAGGCCATTTGCTGGAGTCTACGACACTCTAGTCTGACCCAGATTTTGGGGGTCTCTTCTGCCAATGCCACACTGTCCTGATTACTGTCACGAGCTAGTAAGTCTTAAGACCCCACAATGTGATTCCAACCATTTAAATGTTTATTTCAAAACTGTTTTGGCTTTTTAAATTTCCTTTACCTTTCTATATAAATTTTAGAATCAGTTTGTCTGCATCTAAAAAGAATCCTGCTGGGATTTTGATAGTAATTGTGTTAAACCTATGAATCAACTTGGGAAAAAGTCACATCTTTACTATATTGAGTCTTCTAATCCACGGACACAGGATGTCTGTTGATGTATTTCAATCTTCTCTGGTCTCTTTCTTTAGCATTTTTTTCAGTACCTTCCACATACAGACCCTGTTCATGATTTCCTAGACTGACATCGAAGTACTTCAGCGTTGGAGCCCCTGCAAATGATCTACCCGCAGGCTCGACTGCCAATGGGACCAACGCCTCCTCACAGCCCAAAAGGGACCGACGCCTCCTCCCGGCTCCTTTACTCCTCCAGCATCTCTAAGAGTCCCACCTACTGGCTTTTCCAAATCCACTTCAAAATTATTTTACATTCACAAAATTGTTTTTTCCACTAGAATCACATGAAATCTATATATGAACTAGACAATTCTAGGATGTTTACTGTTTCACCCCAAGAACATGGTAGGTCTATCCATGTTTTTTTTTTTTTTTTTGAGGTGCAGCAGCTCACACCTGTAATCTCAACACTTTCGGAGGCCGAGGCGGGCAGATCACCGGTGGTAAGGAGTTTGAGACCAGCCTGACCAACATGGCAAAACCCCATCTCTACTAATAACACAAAAATTAGCCAGGCGTGGTGGCTCACACCTGTAATCCCAGCTACTCGGGAGGCTGAGGCAGGAGAATTGCTTGAATCCAGAGGCAGAGGTTGCAGTGAGCCGAGATCGCGCCACTGCACTCCACCCTGGGCGACAGAGTGAGACACCGTCTCAAAAAAAAAAAGAAAAAGAAAAATATTTTGGGTCTTTGTCAAATAGTTAAGAATTCAGAATAAGGAAATACGTCAAAAAGACATTAAAAGCTCTATTCATAAGTTTACAGTAGCATTTTTCTGACACGTTATAAAACGCAGAATATCTAACAGCACACATACAAGGAAAAGTGTGTATGTTTAGTTTTAGAGTTAAGGTGGTGACATTATAACTGCTTTTCATTACTTAAGGTTTCCATAAATGTTCTTTGAGCAACATCTTGGGGGCCAACCACGTGCCCCCGCATCAAGACATCAGGTTTCATTGTGGTTTATCAGGGAGCAGGGGACAGAGCAGCAGAGGAGAAGCGAGGACAGTATCCCTCTCCAAGGCAGAGGGCAAGAGGGAAACAGCCAAGGGGCCAAGGGCTGTGGGACCCACTCAGCCACCCCCAGCTCCACCAAGTGCTCCTGCTCCAGACATGCTGGCAACTTACTAAGGTCATGTCGTCGCAGCAGGCAGCACAGGTGCAAGAGGCAGCGTGAGGGTTTAAGATCCCGTCCTGAAATGCAAAAAGAAGCATCACGCATTAGAAAGTCAGCCCCTAAATGTGAATCATTCAATAATAGAAGATTTCAACCACTTCTACCATTTACCTGCCATTCATAAATACAAAAACTCTTTTTTTTTTTTTTTGAGACAGAGCCTTGTTGGGTTGCCCAGGCTGGAGTGCAGTGGCACGTTCTCGGCTTACTGCAACCTCTGCCTCCCCGGCGCAAGCGATTCTCGTGCCTTAGCCTCCCAAGAAGCTGGGATTATAAGCTTGTGCTACGATATCTGGCTAATTTTTGTATTTTTAGTAGAGACGGGGTTTTGCCATGTTGGCCAGGTTGGTCTCGAACTCCTGGCCTCAAGGAATCCGTCCACCTCGGCCTCCCGAAGTGCTGGGATTACAGGAGTAAGCCACCATGTCCAACCTCATAAAGACAAAAATTCTGAGAAATGAGGGCCGGGCGTGGTGGTTCATGCCTGTAATCCCAGCACTTTGAGAGGCCGAGGCAGGCGGCTCACTTGAGGTGGGGAGTTCGAGACTAGCCTGGCCAGCCTGGTGAAACCCGATCTCCATTAAAAATACAAAAATTAGGCCAGGTACTGTGGCTCACGCCTGTAATCCCAGCACTTTGAGAGACCGAGGTGGATGGCTCACTTGAGGTCGGGAGTTCAAGACCAGCCTGGCCAACAGGGTGAAACCCCATCTCTACTGAAAAAAAAAAAAAGCCGGGTGTGGTGACGGGCGCCTGTAATCCTAGCTACCTGGAAGGCTGAGGCAGGACAATCCTCTGAGTCTGGGAGGCGGAGGTTGCAGTGAGCCAAGATCAAGCCACTGCACTCCAGTCTGGGCAACAAGGTGAGACTCTGTCTCCAAAAAAGAAGCAGACGACCACCAGTAACTTCCAGAGACTTCTCCTCTTCACTGTGCCATTATTGGTGGCAGAACCCATCTCTTTCAAGATTTGCAAAAGGCTCTAGAGGAACTGCTTCCTTAACAACACACAGGAGCTAAACTGGAATAGGAATCAGAAGTCCTCCTTTTTAGCAGACAGAAGAGATGTTAGGCGACTTTGAAAGGGTCACACGCATTCAAACAGAAACGATTATCTTAACTTCCACTGTTTTCATTTTTTGTATATTTGACACACCCCCTTTCTACAACTGCTCTGTGCCAGGCGCTGTGACCTCATGCACTTCTCCCAACAATCCTCACAGGGTCACAATCATCAACATCCCCATGTGAAAAATCCAGAAACTGAAATACGAGAGGGTCAGTCACTCATCCAAGGCCACACAGACACGAGGTGGAGGCTGCAAACCCTGTGTGTCTGACCCCGTGGTCTGTGCCCACCCTCTAACTGGGCCACCTCGGAGGCCCCGCATCCAAGCTGTATGCTGAGCACAGGTGAGGACGCACGACGATACCTGGATGAGGCACTGCAGCGGTCGGCCTGCATAGCGAATGCTTCTTTTCCAGTCCTTACTGCTGGCTCTTCCTGCCATGGCCTCAAACTCGGTGGGACTGTACCAGTTCTCCCCCTGCTTGATGCACCGTCCCCGGCCGCCTGCAAGGAAGAGAAGCAGTCACGATGACAGCAGGTAGGAACGTCGCCTCTGCCATCGCCTCCCTCCTGGGACCTCCTCCGCCGTTCCACGAGCACCAGTACCCCAGCAGCTTGTGTGATCTCACCCATCCGTGTACTTGGCCCTGACAGGGTCACCACGGGTCTGCCTTTGTAGCCTGTGCCTCTGATCCCCTACATGATCTCTCCATCCACTGTCCGCAGGCACTGCAAGCTCGACCAGGTCCCACACTGAGCACCTCTAGTACCCACTGCCAGAGCCTTTGTCTACAAGTCTCAAGCTGACCTGGCAACTTGAGGAACACGTCCCAGCCCTGCCTCCCTCCCACTTCTTCTTGCTTGTCTCCTATCCTGTGGGTCACGATAGTTTTTCACCCCCAAATAGTTCCCAGGCCCAGCCCTGCCCAGTGCCTCTCCCAGGCCTCAGCTCCAGTTCACAGGAACTGGGTGTCACTTGCACCTTCTGTCACCTTCTGTCTTCTTTGTTGTTGTTTTTTTTTTTTTGAGACGGAGTCTCGCTGTTGCCCAGGCTGGAGTGCAGTGGCTCCATCTCGGCTCACTGCAAGCTCCACCTCCCAGGTTCACGCCATTCTCCTGCCTCAGCCTCCCGAGTAGCTGGGACTACAGGCACCTGCCACCTCGCCCGGCTAATTTTTTGTATTTTTAGTGGAGACGGGGTTTCACCGTGTTAGCCAGGACGGTCTCAATCTCCTGACCCCTTGATCTGCCTGCCTCAGCTTCCCAAAGTGCTGGGATTACAGGCGTGAGCCACCGCGTCCGGCCCTCTCTTCCTAACTAGTTCTAGGTGCCACAATTTTCATCTTTCTCAGCCCCCAATTTATCCTAGTGGGGCTACAAAGGGAAATACAACTTCGGAGTCTGAAGCGGCAGCCCTCACCTGAGCCAAGCCTGTTCTTGTACAGAGTGCCGCTGATGTTCCGGCACCGCACGGGCAGCTCACTGTCGTACACAGAGGGGTCCCAGTTGTATTTAGTTCCACCTTTTTCTTGGCCGGGAGCCAGAGGGGTTGGAGGAGACTGAGGACCTTGGGCAGAGAAAGTGTGTGAAGGTGAGAGGCCGGACGCCAGGAAGTACATACAGCACGCACTCCCCTCACAGGCACCCACCTCCCCGGCAGCACCACCTCCTTCAACGGCGGGAAAACTCTTCTCCACCAGGAAAATTCCACTGCTTCTACTTAAAATCCATTAATATTTGATATTCCAAATTTACCACAAAAAGAAGTAAATAAATTCCTGAAATAAATTCTAGCTATTCTGAAACGTGTTTTGCCCAGGCCTGGGGAGCAGGCACTGCTGTACCTGGGGTGAGGGGAGCTGCCGGGCCCTTCAACCCGGTGGTCTCCACGATGCTCCCATCTGTGTGGACGACAATCAGGGTGGCTTTTTCGGTGTTCAGGCTGTCCCCGATCTGAAGGGCCGTCCTACCAGACTAGAAGGAAAAACCGCTCTGTCAGATCACGTCCGAGCATGACACGAGGCGTGTCCCTGAGCCCAGCCGGGCCGTCCTCCAACAGGGCTATGGCTGTTCTCACCAAGAAGGGACGCTCGCCTAGGCACCCCATATCTTTTCCAAAGATCTCTCTCAGAGACTCAAAAACAGAGCCAAGAACAAGAGCAGGCAGTGCTGAAGTCTGTGTGGTGCTAGGAAAATGCCTGCCATCGTTTGTCAAAGGGAAAGAAGACACGTGCTCCATGAATAGGAAACACCCTGACGTCTGCCTGAGCAGCTCCCACAGGTCACCGTCCTCATGCAGGGTCTCCAACAGACCGCGCTGGCCACCACAGACGAGGCCTTGTGCAGGACCACCCTCCAGAGCCCCTTCCAGATGGCGACGGGAGACTGGGGCCTCAAAACCACATTTCCACGCTGGCTGAAGCTGCTGCAACTGCTGCCTGCTTCCAAAATCACCCTTCAAGCTGCACAGACCCCACCACAGGCAGCCAGAGTCCCCATGCCCACACACCACTGCTGGAACTTGAACCCCACCTTGGTCAAGTCATCTGACAAACTCTGGCCTGCAGGCTCTGCCCCAGCAGTGGGGCAGACCAGAGACTTCCAGGGGCATCTCCGACCCCAGCGTTCTGGGTGCCCCAAGGTTTTAATTCTGAATACAAAACCAACCGAGGCAAAGCGAGAAGACAACTGTTTCTTTTTTTTCTTTTTTTTTTTTTTTCTTTTTTTTGAGACAGAGTCTCACTTTGTCCCCAGGCTGGAGTGTAGTGGCTTGATCTTGGCTCACTGCAAGCTCCGCCTCCCGGGTTTACGCCATTCTTCTGCCTCAGTCTCCCGAGTAGCTGGGACTACAAGCACCTGCCACCATGCCCGGCTAATTTTTTGTATTTTTAGTAGAGACAGGGTTTCACCGTGTTAGCCAGGATGGTCTCGATCTCCTGACCTCGTGATCCGCCCACCTCGGCCTCCCACAGTGCTGGGATTACAGGCATGAGCCACCGCGCTTGGTGACAACTGTTTCTTACATCTGAAAATGTCGCTGTCGAATCAGGGCACTTGAGGAGAAGTTTCTCATGGAGTTGAGGGTCCCCCAACACACATGCCTGGCGCCTGGGCTCACGGAGGCCCACGGGCCAACACCTCACAATGGGGGTCCTACCACTGTGCCTGAGTCACCAAAGACCGGCAGCTCTTCACTGGAGAAAGGGAATGTCTTCTGTCTGTTTAAGAGTCACAGACTAGGCCGGGCACGGTGGCTCAAGCCTGTAATCCCAGCACTTTGGGAGGCCGAGACAGGCGGATCACGAGGTCAGGAGATGGAGACCATCCTGGCTAACCCGGTGAAATCCCGTCTCTACTAAAAAATACAAAAAACTAGCCCGGCGAGGTGGCGGGCGCCTGTAGTCCCAGCTACTCGGGAGGCTGAGGCGGGAGAATGGCGTGAACCCAGGAGGCGGAGCTTGCAGTGAGCTGAGATCCGGCCACTGCACTCCAGCCTGGGCGGCAGAGCCAGACTCCGTCTCAAAAAAAAAAAAAAAGAGTCACAGACTATTTTTCTTAGGAAAGGAACATACAGTTACTTCAGACCGTGCCCTGCTTTGTTGTCAGTTTCTAAACAGGAACACACCAGTCTCTGGTCTTCTTGGCCCAGAGGGAAGACTAGCCTCGGCCTCTGCAGGCACTTGCAGGACACCGCCGCTCCATGATGGCAGCATGTTCCAGGCACCCGCAGGTGCCTTGGGTTTCAGCCCCTCCTAGGAAATGAGGAGGCGCCCAGACCCCGCTGCCAGGAAGGAGCAGCCTGACTGAAAGCACAGATCACCGCATGGCCATGGGTCAGCCTGTGTGTGTTCTCACACCCATCAGAAATAAACCAAGTGTCTGGGCTGGGCGCGGTGGCTCATGCTGTAATCCCAGCACATTGGGAGGCCGAGGTGGTAGCTACCTGAGGTCACGAATTTGAGACGACCTGGACAACATGGCGAACCCAGGAGGTGGAGGTTGCAGTGAGTTGAGACCACTCCACTGCACTCCAGTCTGGGCAACAGAGCAAGACTCTGTCAAAAAGGAAGGAAGGAAGGAAGGGAGGGAGGGAGGGAAGGAAGTTTCCAAGTTTCTTATGTTTTTACTGAAGTCCTTCACAAGTTTTCTGTTTGCTGCCATTCTGACAATAACTCTGCTTTCTGGCCGGGTGTGGTGGCTCACGCCAGCACTTTGGGAGGCCAAGGCAGGCAGATCACCTGAGGTCAGGAGTTTGAGGCCAGCCTGGACAACATGGTGACCTGTCTTTACTAAAATTACAAAACTTAGCCTGGCATGGTGGCACATACTTTAATCCCAGCTCCTCAGGAGGCTGAGGCACAAGAATGGCTTGAACCCAGAAGGCAGAGGTTGCAATGAGCCGAGATCACACTACTGCACTCCAGGCCAGGGGACAGAGCAAGACTCCGTCTCAAAAACAAAAAAAAACAAACAACCACTCTGCTTTCAGGTATATGAGGATGATGTCCCAGGTGCGTGACTAAGGCTGAAAAGACTACAAGTAACAGGTGCCAGTGGTCCCAGAGAAAACCCCTTTCTGGAGACTGCACCCTGGCATCTGCCACTTGGAAACAAGGTTGTCTGCCCTGGTTGACCCAATGTCCCCAGGTCGCCTAAGGCCCCACATATAAAACATAAAACAAGCTGATACAACATGATCACAAAAGGGCTCTGAAGGTGGCACAGACGCTATCTGACACACAACTGGCTTTCAGCAGTTTTCTAAGCAGACGGCAGTCAGGCGTGCAGAATGAAGGAGGGTGGGAGACCGCCATAAACGCTATGAGAACAGGATATGGGGGAGGGAAACGCCCTGCTTCTTTCAGCTGGCCCTGCAGCTACAGGAGTAAGGAGCACAGGCAGCGCTGGGCCTCCGGCAGAGGCTGAACTGTGGGCGGACGGCAGCCTGGGCTGGGTCAGGAGCTGGGAGTCCCCGCCCGATGCAGGCCACCAGCCCATCTGATGAGGTGTGACTCTTCACCCCGCCTTGTGAGGCAGCTTCTGCCTCAGCTCTAAGCTCTCCCACCCCAGCACAGCCTGAAGGCTTCTGAGAGCAAAGCGAGCCAGTGCCTCCCTACCCAGCTCACAGAGCAGACAGGCACGATGGGCTGAACCCCAGGAGAGCCTCAGGGAAGCCCAAGGCCCCCAGCGTGGAACCACTCGCACTGGGCTATGCCCCTCAGAGCAGCTTACCAGAACATGTCCTGAGATGGACGCCGCGTTGGCCACAGACGTGGTGAAGACATTGTCTGCAGCAGCCCCCACGTTGGCCACTGTCACTGTGGTCACCTCTGCAACAGAAAGAGCCTCATTTAAGAAGCAACGAAAGCCAGAACGGACAAAGCAAACAGCCTCACTCAGGCACTTCAAACAAAGCGACTCCCCCTGGGGTATGCGCACTTGTAACCTGGGAAGACCTTAACACTTGCATGAACGGGCGCTCAACCACCATTTCTATTCCACAGTCTAAGTCATTTGGCTCTTCCAGGAAAGAGAGAAAAAATCTGTTCTTCCCCAGTAAAGCCTTTTATGTGCAGTAAAAAATGCACACAACAAACCCGCCCGTCTCCATGCCCCAGCCAGCCCCAGCTCCACCAAATCACCACTGGGACTCTCTGTGACGTGGGATCTCCTTCTGTGACGTGGGATCTCCTTCTGTGACGTGGCTGTGTCCTACCAGTCAGGTGTGCCCTGCGCCTACAATGAGCTCTCGGCCTCCCCACAGGTGAGGACACCTCCTGGACCCACTCTTGCAGCTCCATTCCTGCCTCTCCTCCACCACAGGGGTCAGGCCACCACCGTCAGGTGACCTCAGCCCCATGCTTACCACCATTGCCCTTGGTCTCTGACCCCTTCCTCCTAAAAAGTACATCTAACCTGCCTATGCCCCTTGGTGCCACCCCACCGCACCCCCTACAACATGGAACTCGGCCCCCTGGCATGCAGACAGGCCCTCTGGCAGCGTCTGCACACAGGGCAGGTACCACAGGGGTCAGCTATACCCCACCTCCTGTCCCTGTCATCCCAGATAGGTCCTGCAGCTCCAGCCTCTGCGTGTTGCAGTGTTTCTAGAGAAACACTTTCTGCCGCCAACACCCCCACACCCTCCTCTCTGCCTCTGCGAAGTCTTCCTGTGATGCTCCTAGGCCAAGCAAGTGGCTCTTCTGTCACCGAGTTCTAGAATGTCCTGTGCCCAGGGCAATCTCTGGCACACAGCAGATGCTTAAAAGATACCGGTTGAGGCCGGGCGTGGTGGCTCACACCTGTAATCCCAACACTTTGGGAGGCCGAGGTGGACGGATCACGAGGTCAGGAGATCGAGACCATCCTGGCTAACACGATGAAACCCCGTCTCTACTAAAAATACAAAAAATTAGCCAGGCGTGGTGGCGGGCGCCTGTAGTCCCAGCTACTTGGGAGGCTGAGGCAGGAGAATGGCGTGAATCCGGGAGGCGGAGCTTGCAGTGAGCTGAGATCGCACCACTGCACTCCAGCCTGGGCGACAAAGTGAGACTCTATCGCAAGAAAAAAAAAAAAAGATACTGGTTGAATGCGTCCTGACCATACCATCCATACCATTAACCCAGCACTCACCAAACTGCCCTAAAAAATGCCTGTTTGCAGCCAGGCACGGTGGCTCACACCTGTAATCCCAGTACGTTGGGAAGCAGAGGCGGGTGGATCAACTGAGGTCGGGAGTTCGAGACTAGCCTGACCAACATAGAGAAACCCCCATCTCTACTAAAAATACAAAATTAGCTGGGCATGGTGGCGCATGCCTGTAATCCCAGCTACTCAGGAGGTTGAGGCAGGAGAATCGCTCGAGTCCGGGAAGAGGAGGTTGCGGTGAGCCAAGATCGCGCCACTGCACTCTAGCTTGGGCAACAAGAACGAAACTCCATGTCAAAAAAAAAAAAAAAAAAAAAAAGGCCTGTTTGCTGTCTGTCTCCACGACCAGATCACACCCCGGTGCAAGGCTCACTCATCCTTGCCTCTCAGCACCACAATCCCCAGCAGGCAGGCGGCGTGGGGCCACAGTGAGAGCTGAACGCCAGGCCCACGGCAGCCCTGGGAGCATCCGCCCAAAGCCTCCTCAGGCGGCAGCGTGTCCTGCTGAGTTACCTAAACCTGGAAACCACTTGACTTCAGCTTTTACCACATCAAAACACAACTACCATATTTTTCAGAAGAAAACATACGTCAACAATTTCTCTGACATCATGATGGACGCATCATTTTTCTTTTATGCATTCAGAAAAATACGTGCAAAAATGACAAAAACCTGAAGTCAATCTCATGGCTCCAAATCCCAACGTCAAACCAGAGTTTAGCCACGAAAGCCAACCCGAGAGTCACAAAGCTTTCCCTCCCTTTTTCTTCTTAACCAACCAAACAAGCAGCAGTGACCCCCTTGCCTTTGAGGGTCATTCAGTTGACCAAGGGCAGCCCAGACGCTGCTGGGACAGCCCCCAGGCCAAAGAAGCACCCAGAGCACATGCAATGCCCTGACATACCCAGCACACCAGGACTGGGGTCCAGTTCCTAAACCCGCAAAGCTCCTTAGGGGAAAAGTGCCTCACAACGCAACAAGGAGCTCCTCCAAGGGTCTGAACACCGAGCTGCGAGTCCCTGGGGGACACTCGGGAGCTCCAATGGGGAAAAGTGCAGTGCGTTGGGAAGCTGATGGGCGGGGAAGTCTATGCCCCACTGACACAAGGGCGGGACACAGGAGATGCTGGATGGTAACAGCCCTGTAGGGCATCTGTGAGTTCTGCCCCGGGCTCCCAGTGTTTTGGAACCTGAGAAGGAGGTTGCTCTGTGTGGCAAGAAATTATGAGCAGCTTACAGAAAAATATCGGCTGGCAAGCCACGGCGGCCTCCCCACAGGGAGCCCGACAGGAAGGGGGCAGAAGGAGCAGGTCCTTAGGGAAAAAGGCAAGAGGAAGAGGGAGGACTGGAAGAGGAGCCCGCACAGGTAACTCCGCGGGCCCCCTGGGCCACCACACAGCCATGCTGACCTCTGGCATCATGGCCTCCAGCAGGCTGCCCACCCCTGGCTCCTCAGTGCTCAGGTCATACCTGAACTGGCCCTCAGGACGTGGGGGTTCCTGGTGACCACAGGTGCCCATCCGCCCCCGGGCTTCTCCAGGACAGGTGGGTGGGGGGAGCCAGGATGGATGAAGGCAGGGCAGGGGCAGGGCTGCACAGGGGGACCAGTAGGAGGCAGGGCTGCCACAAAGAAAAGGGGAGGTGAGGGCAGGTGTGTGCAGGGCAGGCCAGGTGAGGCTGGGTGGGTCACCAGGGGCAGGTGTGCGGGGCAGGTGTGAGGGGCAGGTGGGGCAGGCTGATCACGTGGGGCAGGTGTGAGGGGTGGGTGGGGCAGGTGTCTGTGGCAGGTGGGGCAGGCTGGTCACCTGCAGCAGGTATGTGGGGCAGGTGGGAGCAGCTGGTGGGGCAGTGCGGTCATGTGGGGCAGGTGTGAGAGGTAGTTGTGCGGGGCGGGTGGGTCGGGCTGGTCACGTGGAGCAGGTGTGAGGGGCAGGTGTGGCGGGCTGGTCACGTGGGGCAGTTGTGCGGGGCAGGTGTGCGGGGTAGGCGCGCGGGAACCGGACGAGGCGAGAGGCCGGCGGGCGCACTTGCCTGCGAAGGCTGCGGCAGCGGCGGTCTCGTCGGGGCCGGGCAGGGCCTCGGCACCCATGTCCATGTGCCCGGGCTCCGCCGCCATCACCGCCACTGCCGTGACCCGCGGAGTCTCCCGCTCCGCCTCCGAGTCTGCGTCCTCCTCCGAGTCCTCGTCCCTGCTCAGCACCGGCTCCTCCGCCTCGCCTCCCGCCGCGGCCGCGGCCGCCGCCGCCACAGCGGCCGCGGCCGCCACCGCTGCCGCCTCAGCCAGGCCCAGCTGCTTTGCCGCCGAGTCCGAGTCCTCCATCCGGACTCCGCCGAGCCTTCCCGAAGGCGCCGTCCGGGGCCGCCCGAAGCGCCGGTCGCAGAGCCCGAAGCGGGGCCCGAAGAGGACGCCCGAGCTGGGCCGAGGCCGCCCGAAGCCGCCGCCCGAACAGGGACCGAAAAAGCAGCCAGCCGCCGAGCAGAGCCGAGCCGAGTCTGCCCGTGGAGCGGAACCGACGCGAACCGAGGCTGCCCGAATAAGAGCCGAACCTGCACGAAGCCGCCGAGCCGAGACCGAGTCCTGAACCGAGGAGGGTCGAAGCTCCCCGAAGTGGGAAGCCGAGTCAGTCCGAATAGGTCCGAGTCCGCACGAGGGCTTCCGAGAGACGGAGCCCCGGCTCTCCTCACTGCCTAACACGCTGAGACGGCTGTTGTCCCCGGCCGACAGGGCTGGACGGCTCTAGGCAGATTTTCGCCGGCGCCCGGCGCAATTCTGCCTCTCTAGAGACAGAGCTTAGTGCCGCGGGTTTCGCCCGTTCCCACTGCCGGCGGGAGCCGAGTCAGCCCGAGGCCGAGCCGAGACGAGCCGAATGTCTCCGAGCCCGAATGCTCCCGAACCTCGGTTCTCCGCCTCCTCCCTTCCGAAAGTGCCCGAGCGGTGCCGGACGGACTACGGCCGTGGCTCGGACGTCCGCTCCCGAAACGCGGCGCGGTCGGGCCCCTTCGTCAGGAGACGCGAAAATGGCCGAAGGAGCGCGAGCGGCGCGGGCCGAGAGGCTGCCGGGATCGCGACGGAGCGGCGGGCGGGGCGGGTAAGATGGCGGACGCGCGGCGAGGTGAGCTCGGGCGGGTGGGGGCTTCCGGGCTAGCAGCGGCGGGCGCGGCGTTTCCCTGTGGTGACAATCCGGTTTCCGTTTTCGGTGCGCTCACGGCGCTGTGCCAGCGTCTCTACGTGAGCGAGACAGCTCCGTCACCCCATCGAGAAGCGCGGCCTGGCCTGCGTGGCGGGCGTCCTGCGCCCCGAGAAGCTCGCCCGCGCGCGGGCGCCTGGGCCCGGGCAGGGTGGATGCGGAGCGGCTTTGGAGCGGCTCTCGGGGACCCAGTCCCCGACAGCTCTTGTCCCGCGCGTGGCTTTTGTGAAGACACGTGGGCGGGATGGGCGCGGGGTTTCGGTAGCCTTGGAACCTTCGCCAAAGAAATCGCGGGTCCCGTGCGTGAGAGACTCGCCTCCGGGAGGAGGAAGGGACTGACCAAAGCAGTAAATCGGCCGTGCTGCAGAGTGGCCGCCCTCTGCTGTCCGTGGGTGCAGCCAGAGCGCTCGAACGCGGGCGCTGAAGTGCCACACCTTCGAGCGCGTTCTCTGGAAATCAGGTGCTTTGTTTTAAAGGAATAACGAATGGCTATTCCACAGGCAGGGCAGCCTCTAGTAATCAGGTTTGTTTGTGTATTTTCATTAGGTTAAAAATTAAGTTTAGGTTGGGCGCAGTGGCTCACGCCTGTAAGTCTGGCACTTTGGGAAGCCCAGGCTGCAGGATCATTTGAGACCAGCCTGGGCAACATAGCAAGACACCCTCTCTACAGAAAAATTGTAAACATCAGCCGGTCGTGGTGGCGCACCCCTGTGGACCAAGCTACTCTGGAAGCTGAGGCTGGCTGATCACTTGAACCCAGTTAGTCGAGGTTACAGTGAGTCGTGATGGCGCCACTGCACCCCAGCCTAGGCGACAGAGCGAGACCCCCCTCTACAAAAAAAAAAAAAATTAAAAATTAGCCCGGGGAGCCTGTGGTCCCAGCTACGTGGGAGACTGAAGCTGGTGCATCACTTGAGCTCAAGAGGTTGAGACTACAGTGAGCCGTGATCACACCACTGCACTCCAGCCTGGGCAACAGTGCGAGACCCCCTTAAAAAAAAAAAATTAAAAATTACCCCGGGGAAGGCCAGGCGCAGTGGCTCATGCCTGTAATCCCAGCACTTGGGGAGGCCAAGGAGGGCAGATCACCTGAGGTCGAGGGTTCGAGACCAGCCTGACCAACATGGAGAAACCCCGTCTCTACTAAAACTACAAAATTAGCCTGGTGTGATGGTGCATGCCTGTAATCCCAGCTACATGAGAGTCTGAGGCAGGAGAAATCACTCGAACCCAGGGGGGCAGAGGTTGCGGTGGGACAAGATCGCACCATTGCACTCCAGCCTGGGCAACGAGCGAAACTCTGTCTCAAAAAAAAAAAAAATTACCCCAGGGAGCCTGTGATCACAGCTGTGTGGGAGGCTGAGGCTGCAATGAGCTGTGATCACGCCACTGCACTCCAGCCTGGGCAACAGAGCAAAACCCTGTCTCTAAAAAAATTAAGTGTATACCAGAACAAGATCTGTTAACACACCTTGTCCGTTACATCAGGGAAAACATTTGTTCTCTTTTACTTCCATGTTTAACTTCGCCCGACACAGCTATTCACAGCCACATTGTGATTACAGTAAGTCACTGACCAAAAATGTCCTGAAACCCAGGGCTACGTTCAGTCAGAAAGAGCTCCTGCAGATCTAGAAGTGTTAGAACAGCCGCCCTATAACAGCTGGTTATAGCCGCCCTTCATATTAATTATTTAAATGTTACATCACTTAAGACTTTTATACAGTTTTCCCCCAAACGCCACAACTTCAATCTGTAGCAATGAGCGACTAGCAGACACATTGGAAGTGTTTAAGAAGCCAACCTCTAAGAAAAGGAACAAAAACCCCAATTAATGCGAAATCATCACAGATAATGACAGATATTTAGGTAGCCTGGTTTAGCTAGGGCCTGGAAAAGAACAGATCGGGTTTAAAGAGGGGTCTGGCGGTAACACGATGCGACGTGGTTTGCCGTGCACTTGGCTTCCTGCTTCCAGCCTGTGGCGCCTCTTCCAGGAGCCCAGTTCTGAGTCTCTGATGCCGATGTCTTTACCGATGTCTTTACTTTAGCCTTGTATTTACCGGCTCAAGACTCTTGCCCATGTGAGATTCCATAAACTCTGGCACAGAAGGCCCCAGATCTGCTCAAGAAGCTGTGGGATCAGCCACAAAATCTCACTCACGCCAGGTTTCTGTCTTGCCCTCCCTGGTGTTAAAGTGGAAATGGAACAGAGAGGCTGTGTTCAGGTTGCTGTCCTGCCTGCCGCCCAGCGGTGCAGCTTGAGCCTCCTTTTATGAGAGGTTTCCGCCCAATTCTAGATCTATATTGATGTATTTACACATGTAGAGACGTGCACATATCACATGTGCAACTAGCGTGAGCCCTTTTCAGACAATTAGTCTGACCCAGGTCACCGTGGATCCGGGATGAGTCAGGGGAGTCTTCAGATGCAAAACCTCAGAATCGAAAATGCGGAAAGAGGCTCCACTCCTCGGGCTTCCTGTCATCTCTCAGGTGGGGGTGGGAGAAGGCCCAAGAGGTTGCATGATAAAAAGATTGGACTGCTGCATTGCTAGTTTTGAAAATTCTTATTTTTGGAGGGATGTTTGGGGATAAAATTCCAAAGGAAAGCAAATGTCTCTTATAAATTATGAAAAAAGATAGGCCGGGCGCAGTGGCCCAAGCCTGTAATCCCAGCACTTTGGGAGGCTGAGACGGGCGGATCACGAGGTCAGGAGATCGAGACCATCCTGGCTAACATGGTGAAACCTTGTCTCTACTAAAAATACAAAAAACTAGCCGGGCGAGGTGGCGGCGCCTGTAGTCCCAGCTACTCCCGGAGGCTGAGGCAGGAGAATGGCGTAAACCCGGGAGGCGGAGCTTGCAGTCGCCCAGGCTGGAGTGCAGTGGCTCGATCTTGGCTCACTGCAAGCTCCACCTCCTGGGTTCACGCCATTCTCCTGCCTCAGCCTCCCGAGTAGCTGGGACTGCAGGCGCCCGCCGCCACGCCCAGCCAATTTTTTTGTATTTTTAGTAGAGACGGGGTTTCACCGTGTTAACCAGGATGGTCTCAATCTCCTGACCTCATGATCCGCCTGCCTCGGCCTCCCAAAGTGCTGGGATTACAGGCGTGAGCCACCACGCCCTGCCGAAAAGGTTTCCATTAGTCATATATGTGTGGCAAATACAGAGAAGCCACAGACAACGAGGAGAGCTGCTGTTTGGGTAGGCTCAGGGTGCTGCTTTCCCTGAGGGCCAGGTGGGTCTCACCCAGGGTGAAGTGGAGGATTCATTTCCCACCATGGTTCCTCCCGTACTCGCTGTCTCCAGCCTCAGGTTCTGAAAGGCAGAGACAGCCTCGTTGAAGGATGGCTAGAGAGGCACGGGAGATACCTAGGGGCAGGCCCACGTTACATATTTACTGCTTTCTACAAATATGAGATCAAAAGAGAATAAAGCAGGGGTGGTTCCTATCAGTGTGGAGCGAGCCCCAGGAAAGCCTCCTGGTGGCTGTCGGGCCTTGCTCACAGCCCCTTTCTCTTTCAGGGAGAGGCTCCTCCACGGTGGTATCCTGCTGCGTGCCCCTCCAGGACAGCACCCAGAGGCCCGAATTGCTGCCACGCAGAGAGCACTCGGCCTCACCCCACGTTTTCCTTAAGTTCTGTCTAGTAATTTCAGTTTAGAGAGGGGGGTGTTGCTTGACAGATTTAGAGAGTTGATGTAACTTCCTTGGATCAGTTGTGTTGGCTCCATCCCCTACCTGCTCAGCCCTGCACAAAGTGGCTAAGCACACCAGACTGCCCGGCTCCGAAGAGGATGGCCGCCTGCCTCTGTCCCGGCCAGTAGTGGCAGGAAGATGGAAATCCCTCACTTTGAATGTCCCTAGATTCATTTTATTTTATTTTTGTTTGTTTATTTTATTTTAAGGACGGAGCCTTGCTCTCACCCTGGCTGGAGTGTGGCAATCACAGCTCACTGCAGCCTCGGCCTCCTGAAGCTCTGGCATCACAGGCGTGAGTCACTGTGCCTGGCCCCATAGACTCATATTAGCATAAACAAATAGGAAATGTACACAGCTCAGGAAATGGCTAGTAGATACTTAAGTCCCCCCAAACAGAAATATATTTCCTCTGAAGAGCGCAGTGGCTCATGCCTGTAATCCCAACACTTTGGAAGGCTGAGGCGGGCAGATCACTTGAGGCCAGGAGTTTGAGACCAACCTGGCCACCGTGGTGAAATCCTGTCCCTACTAAAACTACAAAAAATTAGCTGAATGTGGTGGTGCACGCCTGTAATCCCAGCTACTCAGGAGACTGAGGCAGAAGAACCACTTGAACCCAGGAGGCGGAGGTTGCAGTGGGCCAAGATTGTGCCACTGCACTCCAGTCTGGGCAACAGAGCAAGACTCTTATCTCAAAAAAAAAAAAAGAAAAAGAAAAAAAATGACAAACGGCCGGGCGCGGTGGCTCAAGCCTGTAATCCCAGCACTTTGGGAGGCCGAGACAGGCGGATCATGAGGTCAGGAGATGGAAACCATCCTGGCTAACCCGGTGAAACCCCGTCTCTACTAAAAAATACAAAAAACTAGCCGGGCGAGGTGGTGGGCGCCTGTAGTCCCAGCTACTCGGGAGGCTGAGGCAGGAGAATGGCGAGAACCCGGGAGGCGGAGCTTGCAGTGAGCTGAGATCCGGCCACTGCACTCCAGCCTGGGCGACAGAGCGAGACTCTGTCTCAAAAAAAAAAAAATGACAAAGATATTTTTTCTCTCTAACTCATAACTGGGGCCAGAGTCAGGGTGACATCACTGGGAGTGCCAGTGTGTGGAGGCGTCCCCTGACCAGTCCACAGTCACCGAGGGCAGGAGCTGCGGTACACAGACTGCATTGTTCT